CAGTCTCCTAAATAGTTCAGAGCAGCACATCTGGTCAAGGCCGATGATGCTACCAGAGTAGTAACCAAATGACTGACTGGCCTTTGGCTTAATGAAAACATCAATAATTATACAAAGTCATAATAACCTACATACAGCGTACAGTATGCTGTATATGTTGAAATATTGATACTGGAACTGTTTTCAGTCTAATCCTATTTTCAGCCAGGACCAGCCAGGACTGAAAGATGCTGTGTGTTGGGTGACTGTTTACTGTTGCAGTGCAGAAAGTTATTACTTACATTGTGTTGGACTGAGCCAACATGATCGTATCATCTCTTCTCGGCTGGAGAATGCCCGCTCATTCAGGGCTCACTGATCCTTCCTAGGCCTGTCCACTCCTATTACATCTCCTCCAGTGAGATGGGGGCACACTGTCTGATGAGCGCATAATCACACAGATCTCCCCTCATCATATGTCTCGGTCTTACCGCTCATGCAACATATGCAAAAGCCTGCAGTGTACTTAAGGACAGCTGCTGAAGCCAAGATGTGCATGTTCCGTTTTTGCTTCACTACAGCTGCCAATTCATAGATCAATGTAAAACTCATAGATGTACTTAATACGTAAATGGTTTGTATTTATATAGAGCTTTTAAAGTCTTGCTGACCACTCAAAGCACTTTTACAGTACAGTTTGCCATTCACTCATTCACACACACATTCATACAGTGCATCTCTTAGCAGCAATTTTTTTTTCCCTATGAGGGCAATTTGGGGTTCAGCGTCTTGCCCAAGGACACTTCAACATGCAGATAGAGAAGACTGGCATTGAACTGCTGACCTGCTGGTTGGAGGACGAGCACTCTACCCCTCAGCCACAGCCACCCCGAAATGAAAATATGTACAGCATATATATGCCACAGGCACTGTGTGTATAATACAACCAGTTACAGTGTCATCACTATGAATCCACCAGATGTTTTGGTCAGAACGTGAAATCACCACTTCTCCACTTCACTTTTCTCACGTCATGTCAGTGAGGCCAGATGATGCCTCTCAATGAGATATAAGTCTATATATATATTTATTTACCTGCAGTAGCTTAGCTGTTATGAGCCTTGATGACTTTCAGGGACAGCAGATTTCATATTGAGCCAGTGATGATGCCGGAGGGTATGTTTTGCTGCATGGTTTCAAACTTGTCTGTCGCTGTTCAGTAATACTCCACTTGCTCTTTTTGTATTAAAACTACAATAGGACATAAGTACGTGTAACAAAGTACAACGATCACTTCTGCTCACTCTGCCTGGCATCTTGTGCATATGTTGTTAATAGCATTTAACACTTTTTTTTGCAGAGCTCTGTGGAGTTGTGTGTTTTGCATCAGGGGAGCAACAGAAAGTTCCATTTCTCACCAAGTTATTATTGTGATTGTGCATTTTTCATATGTTCCTGCAGTTCGATCTTTGACACAAAAACATCACCTTAAATTGCTTTTCGTTAGATTTATATTCAGAGGGAGGACTCTATAAAACAGCCCTGTCTCTTTCTGCCACTGTTTTCTTTCTGTCTGTTTTTCTTAAAAAGAAAAATCTCATTTTGGATATATGAACATTTGCTGCAGTTTAACCACTTTGCTGAAATGGCTTGTGCAATTTTCTCTGCAGAACAGTGTTTGCAGATAAAGTGCAGCGATAGCTAAAAGTCATTACGGCCACATCAGACCACAAGATCAGCCCTTGTTTTCTCAGTGCAGGAAGCTACAATCATTGGTAACTTGTTTTGTCATTTCAAAGTGGCAATTGACACATCTAGGGTGACCTTTTCAAATTCAGTCTGAGATGTCTCAGACTTTTGGACCTCACTGTGTGGAGGAAATCCACAGCACGTTTAGTTCAAAGTAAACTTGGATATGTTCAGAGATCAAAGATAGATCGATGTAGATTCAATCTAATCCAATTACAGTCATATGTTTATCAAGCAATTATATTCATGTTCAATTCAAGGGAAATTAATATTAGCACTGTTTCAGTATTTGGATGGAGGAGAGTTGAATTTTATGATGTAAGGCCAAAGCAAGCTTCTTCTTTTAGCGTGCATCTTCTTGCAGCTCATCATCCCTCATATATTGGTAGTCATGGTGTCTCAAGTGTTTCCCAGGCCTTCATGCTTTCAAACCACAGAATGCACTTTATCTGTAGCGTATCTCTGAACCCTCTGCACTGCCTCCTCTCAGTATGGAGAAGCTGAGCAGCAGCAGGAATACAGACATCCTTTTTTAAATCGTGATGTTTTTCTGTATGTGTGAGATTTATTGTTCCACTATTTACACCTTCTGTAAAGTTCACATAATTGTGAGACAATTATTGAAGACAATTTTTAATCATCATTTACTCTTAATCATATGTTAATTTGATGGTAGTACAATCTTAAAGTGTTATTGCTCTGCATTTTTGACAGCCATTTTACTGGTTACTTTGCAGATACAGATAACAGAATAGATATAAAACGTTACCTTTGCCTAATAGGTTATGTTTTCTGTTTAAGCAAGATTGCATAAAAACAACTGGAAACTTGGCAAAAGGATCTGGTATGGGTCAAGGACGAGAGCACAGTTTGTTTATTTTTTCCATGCTCAGACCGCTCTGTTGGCAGCATTGTTTGTGGAAATCAGTGATGAGAGTGGTTAACTATGAAGGACACAACATGCTTGACATGTAATTGATCTTTTTCCAATGAGGATGATAAATGTGTGACTGACGTGGGGATTTATAGCAGTGAATCACCCTGCAGCACTGATAACAACCCATATCAAGAAACTATAGTTTTTTAAATAAGACCCAAAACCTGCTATCCAAGTTGTTCCCAAGCAACTTCCAAAAACAAAAAAAGGTCAAAGTCAAGTGAAGCGGACCTGGCAACTCTGATGCTGATGGTCAAAGAATCAAGTAAATGTGACCTGATGGTTTTTACACTTATATCTGAAAGGTCCGAGACATGTTCACTTCTAATAATTATAGGCAGAGTTGTAAAATACTGGTTGAGGAGGGAGTTACATAAATCCCACAGGTAGACGATATAACTGCATCCAGAGTTGTCTCACTGCATCTGTATGTTTTTTGTCACGATTCTGCTCCCTGTTGAAGAACTTCTGGAAGACTTTTGTGGACGTTTGATTTATATTTTTGACAGATCTTTACTTTTTTTTAACTTCCTCTCTTTCCGTCCTTCTTTTAATTTGTTTTTAATCAGAGGAGTCATGGCAGAGGGGTCTTGTGGTGTCCTAGGTTTTGGATTGTCTTTGGTCCTCTTGTTATATCCTTGTTTTTAGTTTCTTTCAACTTAGTTATTCCAGTCATTCAATTTTTTTGTGCTTTATAATTTAGAGCTTTTCCATCCTCAGCCACCCCCAGGCCTAACCCTCACCCCAACCCTAACCCAGAGAGGCTGCCTCTCGGGGTTGTGCCCCATCGTCATTTATCCATCCTCCATGTTTCAGGAATTCATAATGAATAAGTAACACTGACTGTGACTATTTTACATCATGGTTCATTCTCTACAAACCAGGGTTTTCTTGGATTGGGAATTATTTTCTGTTATCATTGACTTGCAAAAAAACGTACACAACAAGAATTGAATGCATAAACAAACTGATGGTAACTGCTGTGGTCCACCACAGTGTTTTCCTCCTGTGAATGGAGAATATCACTTGAGAACATTGGATTTTTTAAATCCCTCCTTTCTCTCTGTCCCTGTGAAAAACTGGTGAAAATGTCAAAAGGATTTTTCCAGGGGAGAACGGAGCATGAACTCAACGACTGTCCTCGTCTCGGTTACTATGGATTGTTCATTTCATGGTTAATCAGGCAGACTGTTTTTTCCCCGACTGCACACTGGGGACACATTTAATAACTTTAACATGACTTTTCCAATATAAATTTAATTTATAATAATAATAATAATAATTTCAATCTTTCTGTTGAAATAGAAAGTAGTTACCATATCACCAGCTTTTATTTAGTTTACACCACAAAAAATCTAATAGAGCACAGGACTTTAGACTTTATATTATTCTTTATATTATATGACAAATTACCATTTAGTCACATGACGTGACAAGAAAACTTCTTTCAAAAACAAAATATTGCAGTTCAGTCCTTGATAACGCACTGATATGATTCTCAAGCAAAGTCGTTGCCATGGCGACACATTATTTGATGACACACAGAGCTGTTTCAATGCTTAGCATGCCTAGAAATTCACATTTGCACTTAGTTCACAGGACCTAAATGTGGAAATTGATTGAGTTGTTTAGCATTTGGGTCAAGCAAGGTTCTCTGCTCATTCCCAGTAAAAACCTTCAGTAGCTTCTGCTATAGGTTTCACCTAGATTTTTGAAATATGGCAGAGTGACAGTGTCATGTACTTCTGGCTCTTAGCAGCCAGCAGAGTTGCTGTGTGTGTCAGACTGTCTGTAAAGATAGAGGATATGGCTACTCCCCAAAAATGAAGCCTAGTGGCTGGCTGCACTATATCTCATAAATCTTTGCTTCTGTGGGAGGAAGTAGTACTTTGTGCTGTCCATCTTTTTACAGAGATGGAGTGTGTGTGTGTGTGTGTGTGTGTGTGAGAGAGAGAGATACTGACAGCAGGGGAGAAGATAACAGAAGGATGGAGGTTATCAGTTCAAAGTCTTTGCCCTGCTGTCTATTTGTATTCATCCCTAATTAAAGAAAACTAAAATTTAGTGTCTTTCATATGAATCATATATCACAAGTTCATATGTGTGTAAAAACACAGTCAGCACTACATGTGACTTCTGTTATTGTTACTTCATTTCACTCAGGAGCATTTTAGTCTCTTTCTCTTATAGTTGTCAGTCCAGTAGAAATATTACAGCATCTTTCATTTTTCTCTCCAACTTTTGAAAGTTCAGTTTTGTGGTAAAAACGCTACATTGATGTTAAGTTAATGACAAAGGATTAGTTATATTCCACAAAATCATTGTAAGATGTTTGTCAGTGCAGACGCCTGGGACTGGAAGTATTATGTTCAGTGTCAAAGGCAGCACTGTTTGACTTCATGTCAGGAGCAAAACTAGAATGGCACTCAGTAAAGCCAGTATCTCCATCAAGGCCTAACAAGAGTGTGTGATTCTTATAGTAAGAAAGGAAAAAATGAAGTGGTTATAAGTTATAAAATATTTATTTGTTATAATACATATAATTTCTTATACTACAAATAATTCATATAAATTTGTATATTACATATAATACATTGTGGCCGACGCCTGCCGCCCCTGCTTCTACGGGTAGTTCCCCCGGACGGCGGCGCACTACTGCTCCAGGGTCCCAGGTGCCCGTGCGGCGGCGCCCACCTTCCAGGCCTCCCGAGAGACGCCACATCCTGCGACATCCACCTGCTCGACCTCCAGAATTACAGTATAAATATAAATATAAGTATAAATATAAAGTCAGGATTAAGAGTATAATAGTGCAAACAGTATTGTAAACAGTTGGTGTACAGCAGTTGACTGTACACAGTGCAAATGGTTTGTAGAGTTTATATATATAATATATATATATATTTTTAGTTTATAAAGTGGCTTGTGCCATTTGGTTTGTGCATGGTGGGTGGGTGGGGGAGAGGAAGGGCAGAGGGTGGGGGGGGAGAGGAAGGGTGGGGGGGGCAGAGGGCAGAGAAGGAAGGTGGGGAAAGGAAGGTTAAGGTTTAAGTTAAGTGTTGTGTGAGTGAACAAACAAAAAAGCAGCATCATGTGAACCATGGATGTCGCTGGAGCTTCTGCAGCGTAGCTCGGTTCTTTGGGCTGATAGCCAAACACATGTTCAGCAGCAGCCGACACTCTGAGAAGAGAGATGACAGAGGACAAAGAAAACATTAGATAGACATTAAATCTAATGATTGTTTTTTATTTCTCCATTGATATATTAATGAATTTATCAAAAATAAAATGTAGAAATTGTAATTTATATTCATTTAATCATCTCCTATTAAAAATAAACAAATCTGACAGAAAACAAAGTATGCACTGCACTGCATTATTATTCCACAACAAAAAAATAGCCCAGTCTGAACTGCTAATCAGCTTTTTACAGTCCCATACAAAATCTCTCCAAAAGAAAATGAGTGTAAGAGCTTGTTCCACTAAAGTAAAAGGAATAGATTGATGCAAATCAGAATCAATGAAGTAAATATGCTCTACTCAGGTACTCAATTACTTACCATGGGATAGCTCACTGCTGATTCGAATGTTTCTGTGGGTGAAGTCACTGGTGGTAAATGAAGTGCCTCCATCCACCATGTTGAAGAGCAGGGCACCCAGCTGCCATACTGTGGATGGCCCGGCCTCATACATCTGATGTATGAAGTACTCTGGAGGGGCAAACGCAAAGGTTCCTACAGTATGCAGAAGGAGACAGAAAGAAACAAAGGATGAGGAACAGGCTGCAATTTAAATGAAAGTCATCAACCAGAGATGAACAGATGAATGACGAGCAGGAGAGGAAGTACTGTACCAGAGAAGGAGCTGCAAGGCCTGTTTGCAAAGCAGGAACAGCCAAAGTCTATGATCCGTACACGTGGACCATCTGAGGTGTTTTGGATCAGCACATTGTTGAGCTTGATGTCCCGATGGAAAACGCCCTTTGAGTGCATCTCGATGGCTGCCTCCACCAGCTGCTTTATGATGATCTGAAACAGAGATAAAGAGACAGAGGAGTTAGAGCGGTGAACAAGAGACAGCTTTTCAACAAACAAGCCACGTAGTAACCGTTCTGTAGCTATCCCTTACCATCATGTCAATTTTTTCTCAACCAATAATGAAGCTATATAAGTTACAACTTCAGAATGAAGAGAATATTTCCATAAAGAAATAAGGCAATAAATTAAAATATTTAACTTTGGTTGGAAACAGATAAACTAGTGTGGGGCAGCTTGAACAATCAACACCAGCTGGGAAACCCGTCACACACAGCCACATGTTGGTTTTAGTACCTTTGCCTCCCCTTCGTCCAGTTGGCCACCTCTACACTGGACGTAAGTTGATAAATCAACAGCAGGGACTGGCCTCTCCATGATGATGATAATTCCCTTGTCCAGATTGTACCATTCTATAAATGATACTGCTGCAGATTTGACCCGTGATCCTGGTGCGCCTGCTACTCTGACCATGACGAGCACCTCAAGAGGGATCATGAATTTCCCCTCATTTGAGACCTGAAGGAAAACAAAATACAACATCAGTGTTTGAGTGAATGAGGTTGTGTTTTCCTCATCAACAAAAGAAATACAAGGAACAAAAACATGAAAGTATTTCAACAGTTGCGAATGAGACATCAGATTCAGTCACTTACCAGTGTTACAGCCTTCACATGTGATTTGGGAATGTATTTGATCGCCACCTACAGGACAGAAACATGTGTGCTTAGGTCAGTACAGGGGATAGGGACTGTGTATATGGGTCGTAGGAGAATAGATTATTTTTACTTACTGGTAATTTATCACTCTCTCTTATTCCAGCATAAACTGACCCGAAGCCTCCTTGTCCAAGCTTCCCAAGCTGCTGGTACTTTGCCTTGAAATCAGCTATAAACACACACAAACACATGTTTAACAATAGTTACAACATTTGTGGATCACATCACTCCCTCTATCCATAACCTCTGTATGTTTAAACTAAGGTTGGCCTCTGTGCTTTAGGATATTATTATTTTTTCCTGCTCTGACACTAACATATGAATCTAACACTGATCTCATTACTTTCATGCAAACTGCAGCAGTGTTAGTCTCTTTCACACCATTACCTTACCTCTACTGGTGCGGCCGATGAGGAGCGTGCTCCAGTTTTCCTCATTGGAAGATGAAGGGTCTCCGGAGTTCAGGGAGAGGTCGGGGTCATCGTCCCCACTCCTCCGCCTCTTACCACGAGGTTCTATGTCGGTGGAGGCCTTTCTCTTCCGGGCCTTTGGTCCCTCACTCTCCACCGACACCTCACTGTCAGTGAAATGCCAACTCCCCTCAGTGATGTCCACTGAGTTGCTAAGGCAGCAAAAGCTCTCTACAAAAGACACATGAAGAAATCTTTAGTCCTTTCAACAGAGAGTATCTGTGCATGGAAACATTTTCTGAACATGGGAACTGCAGTTTGAATAAAACATTCACGAGCAACTCATTGCTAACCTCCATGGTTTTCCTGCAAAATCTATCACAACACTATAGTGTACCCCAGATGATCATCAAGACATTCTTAGTGTAATTTTAATGTTGAAAATCTTGTTTTATTAAAGCTAATGGCAAAATTTTACACATAAGTAGGAATATTCAAATTTCCCATACAAATCAATGTGTTACAAGAGTTTACCTGATAAACTGTCAGAAAAAAATTGCTGCACAAACCTGCAGTGCATGGAAAATAGCTGCAGCTGCAGACCAGGACTTACCAGAGAAGTCACAAGAGGGAACAGTATAAAGTGAGCTTGAGATGGAAGACATGCTGTGGTTTGATCCTGCTCCAAACAAATCTTTAAGAAATGGTTTCTGACAAGATGCCAAACGTGTGTGTTCACTCTGCTGACTTGCTGAATGTGACTGAGTTTTAGTATGTGCTTGAACTAACTAACTGTCCATTGAAGTACAAATCAATGGATTAAAGGATGTTATGTTTCAAAAACACATTTTGGAACGCGCCAGGAGCGCGCGCGGAGCAGCTCGCGCAGCGCCGCGCTCCTGCTCCTCGCGCCGCGCTCCGCGCTTCCTGAGGGGGAGCTACGGTGGCCTTCATGCGTCTGACCACCGGTTGACCTCACCGAGCTGACTTCTCTGCAGTGATGAGTCTGTAGATCCATGTATTTACTCATGTAGCCTGTGTATGTCCTATGTAAACAGTAGTTGATAGTTTATGTAGAAAATATGTCACCGCGCTGTGCTAGTGATTTATTACTGACGTTAGGTAGCAGAATTAGCTGAAAGCTAACTCGGGCTAACAATGCTAACGCGAGCTAACGTTTGTAAACAGACTCGTGCCGCCTGGTAACCGGAAGAAGGCGACACGTGTCTTCTCTGTTTACACACTGAAACAGCTGAGAGCTGTACTGAGGTGAGGAGAGAAGAGGAGGAGATCCTGGAGCTGCAGCAGTGAGGAGGAGAGACTGAACCACGGGGAGCAGGAGGAGAGACTGAACCACGGGGAGCAGGAGGAGAGACTGAACCACGGGGAGCA